ATGGTTTCCAGCTTCATCCATGTGCCTGCAAAGGACATGAACTCATCTTTTTTTATGGCTGTATGGTATTCCATGGTGTATATGTGCCACATTTTCTTTATCTGTTAAATCAAGTAAGCCAGACATAGAAGGACAAATGCTACATGATACCAATTATGTGATGAATCTAAAATTGTAAAACAGAAGCAGAGAATAGAATGGTTGCTAGGAACCTGGATGGAGAAAGGAGGGTCAAACGATGTACATTTTGGTTATACAAGATATGTAAGTCCCAGAGATCAACTAGACAGCATAGTGTCTACAATTAACACTATTGTGTTGTACACTTACAATTTTGCTAACAAAGTAAATCTTTTTTTTGGAGGAGGGATGAAGTCTTGCTCTTGGCCCCCAGGCTGGAGAGCAATGGCGCGATCTCAGCTCACTGCAACCTCTGCCTCCCGGGTTCAAAGGATTCTCCTGCCTTAGCCTCCTGAGTAGCTCGGATTACAGGTGCCTGCCACCATGCTGGGCTAATTTTGGTATTTTTAGTAGAGACAGCATTCACCATGTTGGCCAGGCTGGTCTCAAACTCCTGACCTCAGGTGATCCGCCCATCTTGGTCTCCCAAAGCATTGGGATTACAGGCGTGAACCATCGTGCCAGCCAGAAAGTAAGTCTTATGTTACTTATTCTTATCACACAAATAATAATAAAGAAATTGGGAGCAAACTTTTAGAGCTGATAAGCAGGATCAGACATAGATTGTGGTGATGGTTTCACAGTGTATACTTATTTCCAAATTCATTAGGTTGTATATATTAAATATGTACAACTTTTTGTATATCAGTCATACCTTAACTATTTTTAAATAATCAGTTTTATTTCTTATAAACTAGCAATGAACAATCTAAAAATGCAATTAAGAAAAATATTTCATTTATGATAGCACCAAAAAGAACTAAATATTTAAGAATAAATTTAACATAAGCCAAGGCCCATGCACTGAAAATTACAAAACATAGTTGAAAAATTAAAGAAGACACAAACAGAAATATATCTTATATTCATGTAGTGAAAGATTTGACACTGTTAAGATGGAAATATTCTTCAGATTGACATCCATATTCAATACAATCCCTACACAAATCCCAGCTGCTTTATTAGCAGAAATTGACAAGCTAATCCTAAAATTCATATGGAAATGCAAGGGAACCCTGGCATAAAGAAAGTTATGTAGATCGACAAAACAGAATTGAGAATCCAAAATGCAACCCATATATATATATACATCCATGGTCGATTGATTTCTGACAAGGCTGCCAACACTATGCAATGGGGAAAAGAATAATCTTTATAACAAATGGTGTTGGGACAACTGAATAATCACATGCAAAATAATGAAGTTGGATACTATCCTATACCATATATAATCATTCAAAATGAATCCACAATCTAAATATAAGAGCTAAAACTATAAAACTCATAGAAAAATTATAGGAACAAATCTTTGTCAACTTGAATTAGACAACCATTTCTTAAATGCGATACCTGAAGTCCAACCAAAGAAAACATAGATAAATCGAACTTCATCAAAATTAAAAATGTATGTGTTTCAAAGGACACCAAAAGAAAGTGAAAATGCAGGCCACGAACTAGGAAAAAATGTGACTTGCACACAGAATACATAAAGAACTCTTACAACTCAACCATAAAAAGACAAATAACCCAATTTAAAAATGGGTAAATATTTTGAATAGACATTTCTCCAGGAAAGATATAAAAATGGCCAGTAAGCACATAAAAATATGCTCAATATAGTCATTAGGAAAATGCAAATCAAACCCAAAATGAGATAGCAGTTCACATCAACTAGGATGGTTACAATAAAAGTGACAGACAAAAATAAATGTTTAAGAGGATACAGAACAATTAGAACAATCATTCATTGCTGGTAGGATTACAAAATGCTATAGCTAGTTTGGTAAACAGTTTGGTAGTTTTTCAAAATGTTGGATGTTACTATATTGCCCAGGAGTTTTTCAAAATGTTACAGATTTACCATATTATTTAACAATTTGACTTCTAGCTATACACCCAAGAGAAATAAAAACATATATCCATAGAAAAAGTAGGTGAATGTTCATAGCAGTATTATTGCTAATAGCCCCAAAGTAGAAACAACCCAAATATCTATCAAGTGATGAATGGGTAAATAAAATGTGTTTTTTCCATATAATGGAATATTACTTGTGAATAAATGATAAATGCTCCATAATAGACAAATCTTGAAAGAATTATGTTAAGTGAAAGACTGGCTAAAAAATACTACATAGTGTATTATTCTATTTATTGAAGCATCCAGAATAGGTAAATAAATAAAGACAGAACACAGACTGGTGTTTTCCAGGGCCTGGGGAAGGGGAGAATGGGAAGGAACTGCATAATGGGTAGGGGATTTTCTTTCGGAGTGATGAAAATATTTCAGAACCAGATAGAGAGGGTGGTTGTATAATATTATGAAAGCCCTAAATGTTACTAAAGTGTATACTTTAAAATGGTTAATTTTATGTTATATCAATTTCACCTCAATAAAAATATGAAGGCTGGAAAAAAGAAACTATATCCTAGATGGGTTCACTTGTCTCCATCTTCACTATTCACATTCTAGTCAAAGCTCTGCCCTCTCTCCCCCAAACCACTGACATAGCCTTCTAACTATTACTGCTTTTAGTTTTGCCTCTCTATGATACATGCTCCACAGAGCAGCCAAAAATGACCTTTTGATAGTACCACATCTAGATCATATCACTCACTAGCTAGATCATATCCCTTAAACTAGATCATATCACTCACTTCTAATAGTGTGTCATTGCACTTAGAATGAAACCCAAACACCCTACCTTAGCCCTACTACATGATCTATACCTTGCTCCCCTCTCTAAGGTCATCTGGTACCATTTTCACTCTGGCTATTCCTTTTCTCTCGATCATACCAACCTTCTTTCTGCTGTGCAGCCTTTGGATTAGGGTCTGTTTCCTTTGCTGGCTTCTCATTATATAGTGTTCCATTTAAACTTCAGAGAAGAGTTCTCTGAACTCTAAAAGTAGCCACCTAAGCACCCTTTTCTTTTTTATCGTCGTATTTTACTTCTTGACAAGCATCTCCAAAGCTGATATTTTCTTTGGCTTCTCATTGTTTCTTTATCATCTACTATCCCCAGAGCACATATTTTGAAATCCTATTGCTAGTTTTCTAGTCTCAGCTCTGTCACTTTTGGGACAAATTATATTTTCTGTATGTAATACATAAAGTTGTTGTGGAGCTTAGATGTGGTAATTTTTACAGAATGCCTAAAACTTTAATGAATGCTAAAAAGCTGTAGTATATGCTAGTTATAATTATTTTCAATTCTTTTAGTGATAATCCATATAAATGATAACACTTGGTATTATTTTCATATATTCAAACCACATCTTTATATTTTTTCTTTTTCTGTTGGCTTTATGTTATCTAGAAAAAGCATCTGTTTTTTCAGATTTCTATGGTTCTGTGAGCAGTTTCATCCTTCTGACATATATACACTATCTAAATAATACAAGTCGGTCATGATGTCCTTTACTTCCCTTGCAGCACTTAGGTGGGACATCTCTGCTTTTCTTATCCCTACACTAACAGCCTCCCACCAACATCCTTCTTATCTGAGGGATCTGTGAGTAGCCTTCCACATTCTACACAGATACCCACCTCACAGAAACACTGGCTCCAGTGTCCTGAGAGCCACAGAGTTAAAGTAACAAATATGGAGGGAACCAGCATGGCTGGTGGGTGATTCTGAAGGTACAAAACCACATTCACATTTGTGCTTGGTGAGGCAAAAGCGAATGTCTTAGGGTGAAGCTTCAGTAATAGTTATAACATCAAGGAAGTGAGAGGGCACACTGAGAAATAAATTTCGAATTTTCAGCTAGTGGGAGATCTTCTAGGTAGACAACAAAGATAAAAAAAAATGATCAAATAAATAGACAAAAGAAAAACAAACTTGTCAGAAAAAAAAGTGATCTCCCAAACACCTATTAACTTATAGTTTTACCGTATTCAGTGCATCTTTTGTATATGTAGATAGTCAATGCTATTTGTAGATAAACTAAGAACTCTAAAGTCTTTAGAAAACCATGAAACTGACATAGCAACATTTTAGAGCATAAAATAGGGATTCTAATTGAGTAGAACTGTTGTAAAACATTACACAGTTCTTTTGCTCTGAAAATATTAATATGATCCTCCAGGATGTAAACGCATCTTCACTGAAAGAAATTATGAACTAAGAGTATTCTTGATTATTTTGTCTTAGCAGGTAAAGAGATATGTACATTTTATATTTATACTTTCCATGCACAGTGGTGTGTTTTTCCATTACCTTATGAGAAGCATAATGACAAATAATTCTGAAGAATGCACAGAATTATTATGGCAGGTCAATCAAATGGCTAATTATCTCCAGGAACAGTCCTCTTCTTTAAGTGGCATTATTTTGCTTTAAAGGTGATTAAAATAATAAATGAAGAAGTGATTTCATTTTTAAAAACACTTCTCTAAGGAACCAGATTATCCAGTCTACCATTGATGGGCATTTGAATTGGTTCCAAGTCTTTGCTATTGTGAATAGTGCTGCAATAAACATACGTGTGCATGTGTCTTTACAGTGAAATGATTTATAATCCTTTAGGTATATACCCAGTCATGGGATTGCTCGGTGAAATGGTATTTCTGGTTCTAGATCCTTGAGGACTCGCCACACTGTCTTCCACATGGTTGAACTAATTTACACTCCCACCAACAGTGTAAAAGCATGTCTATTTCTACATATCCTCTCCTGCATAACAATAGTTTCCTGACTTTTTAATGATCGCCATTCTAACTGGCATGAGATGGTATCTTATTGTGGTTTTTATTTGCATTTCTTCAATGACCAGTGATAATGAGCTTTTTTTCCATATGTTTGTTGACCAGATTAAGGAAACACAGAGAAGCAGATTTCTGAGAACACTTTAGGTTATAAGTAAAAGCAACAGAATTTATTTCACCATATTATTAACTTTTCAAAGTGAAAATGTTATTTCAAACACCAGCCTATTTAAAGTATTAACTTATAAATGTCATTGCCTGTCTGTGACAGGCCTTATAGAACATAGATGGAAGAAAAGTCACAGCTTTATAAAAAGCACAATTTCAATAAAGAATTATTGTATAAAAATAAAGCAGAGATTAAAACAAACTCTGGTTGTACGAATTTTTCTCACTTAGTTTCCATTCTTAAAGTAGCTGCTTCATTTTAGTAAGATAGCAATATTAAAAATGAATCTCATGCAATGAAAATCATGGTAGATCACATTAATTTAACTACTATAGAATTATATGACAGCAAATCACATTGAACTTTCACTCTGGTGGCTACCTTAGTATGAAGGTCTTTGTATCTAATGATTACTTTTATACTTCGGTCAAGATAACCTCCTTCGTTTCTATCAAGCACGTGGGTTTCTGGAAGCAGCACTAATGAACAGATTTCTCTGTTTTATGGATTCTACCAGAGTGACCAAAGGATCCTTGGTCAACTTTTAACTCTCTGCTTCAGTTTTCTACTTTCTGCCAAAGGAAAATAGTTTTCCTTCTATATTTATATTATACAGTTTCCTAAAAATAAACAAATAATGTATGAGTATAGTACATACTACACACTGGAATTCACACATGTATATACACACTGCACTGTATGTGTGTACAAACTGAAAAATTTGTGGTACTATCAAAATTTGAGCCTGTTGACTACAGTCAGCATAACTTTTTAAAAGGCAGTACTTATTTTGTATAAAATATTCAGGAAAGGCTCTAGAGAAGCTGGTTCATTCCTACATTAATCCTTACTGGTATTTCTTTTATAAAAACCCCATGTAGATTTCCTTTTAATAGCAAAAACATTGGCTGTTTACATTCCATTTCATTAAACAAGGTAATTCTCCAACTTTGAACAAAGGTCATTAACTTGTAATTCATACCCAAATCAATAGCGAATTACAATGAGATGAATCTTTCAGGGTGTAAAGGAAAAACTAGTTCAGAACTTCATTCAGAAGGGCTCCTGATTTGCTTTAATTGAATTTCACTCCAATGCTCTGTTACAAATGCCATTCAAAATGCTGCATATGTGAAGGTTTCTCAGAGACTTCTACTTCTCAGTTTACCACTAAACTGGGAAAATTACTGTGGTTTTCCTTATAGGTGAAATGTCATAACAGCAACAGCAGGATTATTCAACACCATCCTACCTTCATCCATGTTCCTATTATTTAAATTGGACTATTTCCTAAAGCTTTATTTTGTAATATGACTTCTTTCCATAGCAATGCTATTGATAAGAATCTGCAGCATCAAGTTTTTTTTTAATAATATAAACCTTGATATCAAAGCAGTACCAAAACAGGCCAAATCCTCAACAATATCAAAAAGCTTTTTATGTATTGTGCAAAAAATTCCAGACTACTGATCTCATAAATACCAAAATTTCAGAATTTTTTTGCAATTTCCACATTATAGTTTGATACTTTAAATCAGATAGCATGTGAGAAGATTAGGTTTTCAGTTAGGCAGAGTCAAGTTTTAAGCTTAACTCTACTATTTACTAATTAAGTGATAATAAGCAAATTATTTACCCTTTTAGAGCCTTAGCTTCTTCATCTGAGACAGTGATAAGCCATCCCCCTTTAGTTATTTACTGAGTTAATCATGCAAAATGCCTACAAGATTTCTCCATAAGTGATTTTTGTTTTATAGACATTATTGATTTTTTATTGATTAAAAAAATATATATATTTTAAGATGGACCAAACATCTAGTATATATTAATATAACTTGTATATACTCACAATTTTAAAATATATTTTAAAAATCTAAGACATAATTAGATAATGTCCTGTAAAAGACACAGTTATCAATTAATAGAGATTCTTGTAGAAGAAGCATGCTACATAAAGTTCAATGTGCCACTCACAATTACAAGCTAGAATTTTTTTTTTTTTTTTTTTTTTGAGATGGAGTCTTGCTCTGTCACCAGGCTGGAGTGCAGTGGCCCAACCTTGGCTCACTGCAACCTCTGCCTCCTGGGTTCAAGTAATTCTTCCGCCTCAGCCTCCCGTGTAGCTGGGACCACAGGCACGTGCCACCATGCCCAGCTATTTTTGTATTTTTAGTAGAGACAGGGCTTCACCATGTTGACCAGGATGGTCTCAATCTCTTGACCTCGTGATCCGCCCGCCTCAGCCTCCCAAAGTGCTGGGATTATATGCATGAGCCACTGTGCCTGGCCCAAGCTAGAATATTTTAAAAGAAGTTTGTAAAAAAAATTTGTCTCTCTTTTTGCTTGTAGAGTCTGATTAAGATACTTAAATCTCAAGATTTATGCCCATCTGCCTCTCCTCTGGCTGCCAGGATCTATGATTTGCACATGGTTTCCCACTGTGAAATTAGTGGGGGTGGGAAGGGGTGGAGGATGGTTATAAACAAGACAAAACAAAACTAATCTCTATCCTATAAACAGATATTTGTTTTTCCCTTCTAAATTCATGTAATCTGAAGTACATGTTGGCATGGCAAATGATAACCAAAGTAATTGACTTTAAAACAATTTCATGACTGTAGAGCAATTTTTCCTTATATTACCAAATAATAAATACTGTATGTTTTTTTTTTTTTTTTGAGACAGAGTTTCGCTCTTGTTACCCAGGCTGGAGTGCAATGGCGCGATCTCGGTTCACCGCAACCTCCGCCTCCTGGGTTCAGGCAATTCTCCTGCCTCAGCCTCCTGAGTAGCTGGGATTACAGGCATGTGCCACCATGCCCAGCTAATTTTTTGTATTTTTAGTAGAGACGGGGTTTCACCATGTTGACCAGGATGGTCTCGATCTCTTGACCTCGTGATCCACCCGCCTCGGCCTCCCAAAGTGCTGGGATTACAGGCGTGAGCCACCGCGCCCGGCCTAATACTGTATGTTTTTATTTGTTTTTGTATTTACTGTAGAGGTTAATAGGTGATATTATCAATGGATTAAAAATAGAGGATATTAGAAAATTAAAATGCCTAGAAAATGAAAAGTTCTTTACTAGTAAGTACCTTTCTTTGTAAGTATGAATTATAGCATCCTTTAGGTACAATTTTGTTTGAAATTACACAGCTTCTCATCATGAAAGGAGTCTCTGTACTTGAGCACCTAATGGCCGAGGCAGCATATGAGAAAAGGTTTAGACTCCACTTAGCCAGAGGGCAAGTCAAAAAATCACAAGTGCATCTGTAAGACACAATCTCATTACCATAATAATTACCACTGTAAACGCAGTGCTCGCGCACGCTTTCTCGCCTTTCTCTAACCTGCAGATATCTGTAGGAATAAGGGCCTTAGTGGCCAAGGCAGATCTGCACAGAAGGGCCAAGAGTCATGGAAAGACTCTACTGCTACTGCCAGTCACTATGTTGGCCTGGGAGCTGTAGGGAAAATGTCCATAGCCAATACTGACCAGTGAAACTAATCAGCAGAACCTAGTCAAGGGAAGTTTCAACATGGTGTTCTAAATGTTCTCAGATATCATATAAATTATTAAAAATTTTCATGGTGGTTTTTTAAACAAGAAACTATTGGTTCTTAACTAAAATTTACAACATAAATTGATGTCCTTCATTCTTCAACTCATCAAATAGCAGTAGTACCAAATGTGGGTCAGGTTACAAACAATTTTATAACGAATTATTATTGCTTTTTAAAAATACGTGTTTCAAATGCTTTCTCTGTAATTCAAATACATAATTTTAATTCATAAAAGGGTAATTCTATTTTTAAGATGGCCGCTGTTATTATTTAACCATTATAATAATAAGGGTGCATGGAAACATTTAGATAAAC